AGATGAGGAGGACACAAGAGGATGAAAACATAGCGGGGGATAAGGATTTTAGGCAACAAACAACCTAAGTGTACATAAAATAATAAATACCTTTATACCAATGATTACCTGTGGATTAGTTACCATGTATGGTACTTGCATATTTCTAAATGGTACAGATATTTACCTATTATACTAATAGGCCAGCAGTACCTAATTGGGATGGCTATTATACAAATGCATATATATAATACTTGAGAGATTAAGAGTGAAATTAACTCTTTTGTAAATTATAAGAACAGATTTTACAGTCCTGACTTTTGTACAATTCAGATAATTCTTGAATTTTGATTTAGAGTATTCTCTATAGTTCTTTGTGGCTAAGCAAGAATATGCTACAGTATATAGGTTAGGCATCACTTTTAAATATTGAATACTATAAAAAATTGACCTATTCGATGATACAGTAATGTATAAAACCTTAGTAGCTTATGTTAAAGAGAATAATATAGAAACCCTTTTTACATTACACAAAATGAATTGTACTGTCCATAGTAAGATGCCATGACAGTATTTAATTCCTTAGTACATTACCTGTGTAGATAATGTACAAATCTTAATACATTACTGTACTAATTTACTTGTGATGAATGTATATGAAATCGTAGTACATTACCTGTGTAGATTTTGTATAAAATCTTGTGTTAATCAAAAATGAATGCAATAACAAAAAGATTAGATCTCTATAATAAAATACTACATTATACAGTATTTACTACTAAGAAGGAAAAATACCTGGATCAGTTTACAGAAGGTACAGAAGGTCACTGAGGTATGCTGTTAATAAATGGTGCCATTAAAATTGTGGCTTTGTGTTCATAAATTGAACTAAACTAGAAAAAAAGGCCTCATCAAAATGTGTTGGAAGCTAAAATTAGTTCAAGCTATTTTCTAATGTGATTAGCTGCATTCAACTTTAGGTCATATTGATAAACTGCACTATATTTTAATGTAATTTAAATTTAGTTTTGTTTCCGCTCAGTTTGAGTAAAATGTTTACCTGAATGTAGAGTAGATACTGTACTGCATTGGTTGTATGTATGTATGTATGTAGGTGTATGGTGAAAGTTAACACGTGTCAAGTTTTCTAGGTTTATCATCAATTATACATGTGCATGTGTGTGTGCCCGCATGTGTGTAATTACCTAAGTGTAGTTACAGGATGAGAGCTATGCTCGTGGTGTCCCGTCTTCCCAACACTGTTTGTCATATAATGCTTTGAAACTACTGCATGTGTGTGTGTGCACATGTTTGTGTGGGTGTTCTATCCAAAAATCAACATTTTCAATAATTACTCTTTAAGACATCTTACAATATGATAGTTACACAAAGCTGGTTAACATACTCTTGCAGTCTGGAATGTTTTACATTATTCTGGAAATTTTTTATAAAACTTGCTCAATATATGGTAATACTGTACGAATAAAATCAAATAAAAAAAAGTGTACATGAACACACATTATAATCGGAGTCCACAGATAATTTTGGTTCAAACATTATGATAACTGCATTGACTTTGCTGCCAGGAAATGCAGCTTATTTGCAGCCATATAACTTCTGATTGTTTCCATCTGTATGCCTCACCTGTTATGCAGCTGCTACTGCAACACTTTCACAGAAAGTACTATATTTGTGTTGGAGGAGGTAATGTGTTACCACATGGATACACAGCTACTGTGACTCTTTGATCAATAGGCATACAGCCTAATGCAAAGTAAGCTATGATCTGCTATATCTGATTTACCTTATTTATGGGTAAATCTATAGGCTATAGTCTAATACAAAGTATGCTCTGATCTATAGGCAAACAGTATGTACTGATCTATAGGCATACAGTATGTACTGATCTATAGGCATACTGTCTAATACAAAGTATGCTCTGATCTATAGGCAAACAGTATGTACTGATCTATAGGCATACAGTATGTTCTGATCTATAGGCATACAGTATGTTCTGATCTATAGGCACACAGTCTAATACAAAGTATGCTCAAGAGAAAGTGTAATTTAATGATAAATATATAGTTTCCTCAAACACAAAAACGTTCTATCACTTTGCTGGTTACATTACGGCATTCATACACTCTCCACCTGATATACTTTTCATATACTTTACAGTATGGGGTACATAGGCAAACTTTCTAACACTTAAGTTTGGGAATACTGCTTAACACCACTGGAATTTGTTTAGTTATAATCTTGCAGATAAATTTATATCCAATTTACTTATCAATATACAGTATATTAGAAAACATATTATACTGTATCTTAAGATTTCTATGTCAAATTTTAGTTAATTGAGCCAAGCTAATATGACCAAACTTTCAAAAAAGTTTAAAGTTATTAAACTTAAGTGATTGAGCCCTTATGATCAGTTGAAAAATTATATATACCTCATACTGTACTAGTTTCTAGATTACGTCTGGCAATGTAATTTGATCTGGCTGTAACTGAACTATATGTGAGACAAAACATATATTACTCATAACAAAAAATTTGTCATGTGTAAAGCAAAAAATTATAGTAATGAGCTTGTGTGTTAAGTTTCATAATACTGTAGATCAAAAACTTAAGTGCTATCCTTAGGCTTAAGTACCAAGTAGTACACATACCTTCAGTGAGTTTATTTGTTCATGATTATGCCAAATTTTAATTTAATGTCTTAATTAATTTCTTATGTCTTAATAATGTCTTAATTATGTCTTAATTTAATTTATTTAGCTGGCTACATGGATATAGATTGCTTTGATTGGTCATGAACATGAATTGTTTTATTTGTTACTGTATTAAATTAGAAATTACACAATTTTCATACTGTATCAAAGTTTCCTGGTTTAAACATTCACAAATAATTATATACATGTTTCACTGTATTGATGAGAGCATTGGCCAAACAAAATAATGTTCAGTTTCTGAGGAGTAATGCATTATTGATCCTACAAATTACTCAAAAGACCCCAAAAGATACGGAAGTGAAACTACTCAAATATAATTTACTTGTACAGTACAGATAAGCAATGTGAACATGTGTTTCAACGACCCTCATAGGCTTCCTGGCTCTGATAACAATATACCATGAACTCAAAGTAAGGGTTCCAAGCCCGGTACACAAGTGGATGAACAGTGACATCACTCCACAAATGAACGCGGAACAACACGAGGAGCTTTTTAGAAGTCACTGATGTTCTGTCCCCTTCAAGGGTTCTCAGGTAAATTCAGGTAAATACAATACACTCAGATTAATTGTATTTTATATTAGAGAATATGTATTTACTGTATAAAAAGTATTTATGAACCTGGAGAATTTCTTCACCATACCTAAGGATGGTAGATACTCATGGAAAGTCCTACTCGTTTGGTTTCCTAAACTGGGGACAGGAAAACCATCTAGCTTATTGATGTCTGCCAAGGCCCTAGGCCAACAACTGACCTTCCCCAGTATGCCACTGACAACAGCTGCCTAACCCATGTGGTCATTTACTGCTCGGAGAACAGAGGCATATAGCTGGCTGTCCAGAGACATACCTATATTCTCTCGCCCTGCACAGGAATCGAACTCTCATCCAGTCGGTTGTGTGCCGACTGTGCCATCTACATCAAAGACAATGTTATGTGTAAAATTTTGCCCTGAAACAGCAAGGGAAACATGACCGCAAACAACAAAGTGTCTAACACCATAGCATCTGTATTTTAAACTCATCCATTATGGGTTTGATTTTGGAGTTCCATTGGAAAATGTCACCTCTACTACTACAACACCTCTTCAGCCTACATCCAACTGGCTCATATTCCTCTCATAAGTATTTTGTAGGGCCATATGATGATAATTTGGGATTGATTTATATAATTTGAGTGTTGTCTGGGTAATTCATTGGATCCTACAGTGCACATGTACTAAATATTATGATGTATGAAGATATACAAGTATGGAAAAAACTAATTCATATGTATGAATCAACATCTGTGAAGTTAGTGTGAAGAGTAAGTTAGACCTGCCTGATGATTTTACATCCCAGTTTATTTCATTTATTATGCACCCTATACCCACATTGTGGACGATAGCGGTGCAAAAACTGCATTTAATTTTCAGTGCACATATCACTGATTTTTTTTCCAGAAAATCTTGTGCTATCAGTGGAGTGTAAATGTGAAAATAAAGTACTGCACTGTGTAATACCAAATGGCAATAAAGTTTTATAACAATACACAACCTCAATGTTTTAGTTACTCTTTGATATTCTACATAGAAAACGTTGAGTTAAGGACTAAGCAGACACTAAACTAAATTATTTTCATCTGGCTGCATTGGTAATGTTTGATGATAGCATTTTGATATGATAAGGCAACTTATTTGTTCCTTGATGATATAACATATAAATCTGCAATAACATCATTATACATTAAATAACAAGAATAACAGTGATAACAATTTCAATAAGTATAAATCAGATATATTTAAGTTGCAAGTGCACTTAATTGATATCTGTATATGTATATATATATATTTATAAAAAAAATTCAGTAGCCCCCACAAAGACACAAAACCATTATGAACTGCCTTCACTTGTCATATCAGATTTCCTGATGATCCTAAGTTATAACAACAATAATATATGTTTAATTTGAATTGAATTGAATTTGAATTTAAGTTGAATTTGCATCTAAATCACTTTTTCTATTTGTAATTTATTTTAGTTGGAGACAGGAAGCCTTTGTATATACCCGGTGTGTGTGTGTGTGTGTGTGTGTGTGTGTGTGTGTGTGTGTGTGAGTGTGTGTGCGCGCATGTGTGCTGGCGAGAAACGATGGGCAGTTTCTTTCACCCTGATGCTCCTGTTACCTAGCAGTAAATAGGTACCTGGGAGTTAGTCAGCTGTTACAGGCTGCTTCCTGGGGTGTGTGTGTGTGTGTGTGCGGTGTGGGAAAAAAAAAGTAGTTAGTAACAGTTGATTGATAGTAAAGAGGCGGGCCGAAAGAGCAGAGCTCAACCCCGCAAGCACAACTAGGTGAATACACACACACACACTCGCACCCACAACGCATGAATCAAGGTTTCCCCCTCCCCCCACCTCGGTCAAATTTCTGACCCTAGTTGCTTAGCTCCCATATATACCTATTTAAGGCTAAATGAAGAGATACATTAGGTGAAAGGAAATGTGCTCAATCATGTCTGTCCTGATCGGAAATTGACTCTGAGATCCCTCGATTGACAGTCCAGAATAAAGTCAAAGCCTAAATAAACAGGTCGAGTCATGAGAGCGGAATAGTTTTTCACCAATGCTCATTTATAAATATTAATAATTAATTAATTATTATTTATAAATAATATTGAATATTCATAATTATTAATAATGAATAATTATTACATTCATTATTATTATTATTAATTATTACATTAAATGGTAAATAAAGTATGTTTATAGGCTTGTATATGGAATACAAATTAATGAGAGAGCTGAAGAGTGACATATATATACATATAGGCCTACTCTGAAATCTTACACAATATCTAAGTACACTTTTGTAAAGAAATATCACTTTCATTACATCGAGACATCTTCATAGAATAAGTTATAGTAAGTGCCGAGATGACCACATAGGTCTATAAGTTAGACCTGTACTGAAAATGTTAGTACATTTAGTGTACTGAAAATGTTAGAATGCGGCAGAATTCAATGTCACAACTTCAAATAAGCCCGGTGATATAAGTAAATTGTTGCAGTACTTGGGTACTATTATTCCAGTCTCTAAAGTATTGTTTCTTAAAAGGAGTCCACTTGGACCCTCAAAGGAAGAATTTCAAGTCAAAGGGGATTGTTTTGTAGGTTCTACACAAAGAGAAATGTGGGCATTTCAGAGTGCAGAAAACAACTTGGAGAACAGTTCTCAGATGTGGGTATTGAGAAAGTTGAAAGTTAACTAAACTTTCATAACAGAAATTGATGTAACAACAGAAACATTACAAAAGTACTGTATAGAAAAACAGATTATTAGAAAAAGGATAATTTCACTCCACATGATGCAAATTGGTCATGTTGTGAAAGGCAATGGAACAATGTGAGATGTGCTGAAACAGAGAGTTGACGATATAATACTGTAAAGAGATAGAGGAAGGAAAACAAAATGATGATGTATGAATTTTGAGGTAGGCAATCTTGTCTTAAATGAAGAGAGGTGCTCAGGAGACACGGTAAGGTCAGGGGAAAACCTTAAGCAATTATGACCATATAGCACTTGGAGGAGATACGAGTTTAAGGATTTAAGATAGGATGAAGGAAATCAATGATGCCCAACCATTTGGATGGTCGGGGATTGAGCGCTGGCGTACAAGCTAGCGTCCAGTCACTCTACTATCCAGTCCAAGTGGATGTTTTGAGTAAACTGAGACATCTCTATAGCCAGATCTTGTCCAAGAACACTACAAAAATAAAACCTGATATCTTCCAAAATATGAAAACAATAATAATGAACCAAATCATAACAAGAATGATAGAAACACAGTGTGTGTATATGTATATATAATAATTATAATGACTTTGCAAATTATTTTACAACAAGAAATTAAGAATAACCTGATTTTACTGTACAATGTTATTCTTAACACGGTCATCAATTTGACCCAGATTAAAAACAACTTTGATTTTTAATGATACATGCACCAAATACATTCTTAATAGCATTAGTGCCAATATTTCTCATTGAACGTACAATTACAAGAGATTGGCCAGAAATCCGCAAATGTGACAGGAGCTAAAGAGAACAATATTTGGCATATTTTTTTTTTAACTAATAATTTGATGATCAAGACAAGCAAAGGCAGTTTCAATTTGTTTGTAAATCTTTTAGGGGCATACACAATATTGCATAGACAAGCGTGCAGGGCAAGCTTATTTTGGCAAACATTTCATTTTTCACAAACTTTACAAACTTTAACTCTGTATTTAAATAAACATAATGTATATACACAAATTTATTTTTGAAGCTAATAAATGTAAAGATACTTTTTTTTTAATATTAATAATGCTATTTTAAGCTATGGATGTGTGTGAATTAAAACTTGTATGACTGTATTATGCATTGTTTTTCAAGGTATTCTGTGTCTTGGCATGTAAAGAATTGTATTATTGTGTTTCACCGTGCTGCCTTGACTGATACACTTGACAACCTACAACACATCAACTGTCAAATTGTGTAGAACAGGGTGTCAGAATCTACCATGAACTGTCATTAGGTATAACAGGATGTCAGAATCTGCCATGAACTGTCATATTAGGAATAACAATGTCAGAATCTGCCATGATCTCACCTGAGGACTGTATCATAAAAGACTACCTTGACCTGTTGTGTAATTCCAGAGTTATAATGACGACCTTCAACAAGCATGACTTAGAATGAAAATAAAAAATGTTTACCAACACATCTTGCCTCTCGAGACCATCTGGAGAGGCTCTAGCTTGGCACATTTCAGGCACATAATAACAAGGTTTTCAACTAACAACAATAGAAACAGTCATTAGGAATTATCACATCAATAACCATCACAAAGTCCTTAAGTTCTTTGTTCATTCTGGACAGTATCACCATGTGGCTCTCGTCCCCTGCTGGATAACAGAGGCTAGAATATCACACGATGCCACTTTCAAGCTTATTTTCTCCAGCAAAGAATATTTTGAAAGATTTCTCATTATTTGACTGTTGCAATTTTATAAGTTAACACTATTAAACTAATCTTCCAACTAATATTCACTAAGGAGCCACTTAACCACCGTATAAACTTTTCAGCATCCCCCAAGATCAAAGAATTGTTAAGGATTAGTTGTGTTCACATCTCACAGCTCCCTCAGTAACGCATAGGACTGAGGGCATAACAGTTCATCTGGCCATGTTCAGCATCAGGCACCTCAAAGGGAAGTTTTAAGTCCAGGTTGTATTTGTCCATTCCTGGTGCTCCTGGATCATTATGCACATTGTTCTGAGGTTCCTTTATCACAACATTTTTACATCTGTCTGGATTAATGGGCTCTGGGTGAGACTGAGAATCTACTGAGTCAAAAGATTCGCTTCTTATAGTTTCCAAATCAGAATTTTCAGAATTTGTCCCATTAGTCCACTCACCTCCTCCCCTTCCTAATCGAGGTCTCTTAGGTTTTGAGGAATTTCTGGGGCTAGCACTTAAACTTGCAGATCTAATGTCATCCATATCAGACGAAGGTGAGCCAAGATCACCCCTTTTTAGCTCTATCACCTCTGTTGGACCATCATCACCATCATCTCCCATCTGAGGACTCTGAGGCTCAAGCCAATGTCTTGAGGGTCTCATCATAATTGCTTCCTCATCACCCTGAGCCTCAGACGATTCATGTATAACACCTGATTGCACATCTGCCGGCGACACCGATGCCCTGGTGCGTAGCCTGAATCTTGGAGGACAACATGAGGCCTCAGGAATCATGCTCAAGGAATTGGGAACTCCAAGAGGATTGACCCGTGAAGAAGCTCTCTTGCGAGCCTCCCTGCCGGGGCTAGCATACCTGTTGATCACCACCTGCAGTTCCTCCTCTGGGGTGGTTATAACAGATGCAGTATGCCCTGTGATAGGAAATAAGATTATAAAAGGGAATTATATTAATGTAAAATTATTTTGCCTTAAATTATGTAAGATAGCAAGATATAAAAAGTCCCCGTGGCATAGTGGTTAAGACGCTCATCTGGAGTTTAGCAAGCGCTTTGTCCAGGGTTAGTATCCTGGCTGGGGAGGATTTACTGGGCGCAAATCCTTATTAACTTTAGCCTCTGTTTAATTCAACAGTAAAATGCATACTTGGTTGTTAAAATGATTCTTCGTAGGGGTCGTATTCCAGGAGGACTTAGGAGTGAGGACTTGCCCGAAATGCTACGCATACTAGTGGCTGTACAAGAATGTAAGAACTCTTGTATATACTCTAAAAAAAAAAAAAAAAAAAAAAAAATATATTCTAGAATGAAAGAAAACCTTATTTTATTTTCACAACTTTGCACAAAAAAAAACCTACTTTTCACAAAATCTCTGGACCAAGGGGAAGTCCCCCTTAGATTGAAAATATTTCAAAAAAGGTAAAAAGAGCCAAGCAGAAGACTACTGGCCAATCAGCTGGACATCACACATCTACAAGCTCATAGAGAGAATCCTAACGGAGGGAATCATTCACCATCTTTCAGTGAACAATCTTGTACAATCGACACAACATGGATTTGTTAAAAACAGATCCTGCCTTACAAACTTGCTCACATTTTTGGAAACAGTAACCAGCTACTCGGACAAAGGCCTTCCGGTGGATGTAGCATACAGGTGTACAGGGATTTTGCTAAAGCTTTTGATAAGGTACCACATGAAAGACTGGCAAAGAAATTACAGGGCCATGGAATAAATGGTAAAATATTAGAATGGTTAAAACAATGGTTGAAGGACGTATACTTTTAATGCGTCCTTCAACGCATAATAAAGGATAAGCAAGCATACTTTTGACTATAAGGAAAAAAAGGTAATGGTTCAATGTTATAAATCTCTGGTGTGTGTGCCCCCATTTGGATTACTGTTTCCAAGCATGTAGACATTTTCAGAAGGATATAGCTGCTCAGGAGAAGATGCATCACTGGGCAACAAAAGTCATTCCAGAGCTAAGTCATCTCTCGTATCAGGAACACTTGAAGGCCACAGGGCTAACAACACGGCAAACCAGGCATGAGAGAGTGGATCTCACTGAAACTTTTAAAATACTGAACAAGTTAGAGGATGTTCATCTGGATATTTTCTTCAGAAGGTCAGATGTACCACAAACAAGGCAGTCCATCCTCCTCTTTTGGTAGTACTTATAGGAAGGATGAGGGACCATATTACACATACCAACGTACAAAGCAATTAGAAAGTACAAATCGGTACTATTGAATTTGGACAAACCGGAAAACAATTTTCTATTTTTGCTGCAAAGACAAATTAAACAAACCTAACCTAATCTTCCTAGGCCTAATACAGTACATGCTATCTGAGACCTAATATAGTACATGTGTGTGCTATACTAGGACTAGGAATATTTAAGTTTATTTTTAACTTCATTTTTTTTTGGACTCTATAAAGTGAATAGTACAAACTTCTACTATCTACTTGCTTAGTACATCAATGTTTGTACTATGGCACACATAGTTACAAAAAGTAGTATCTAAACAGGAGGATGGGTTGAACAAGGAGCAATGTTTCAAGCTCAACAAGCCACAATGAAGTGCCGAGAACAGAAGATGTGGTTTCACGCACAGTATTATTAACCCACGGAACCGCCTACCCGCTGAAACTGTAACTGCCAAAACTGTGTTGAGTTTTAAAATATACCTGGAAAAGATCATCAAGGCAAATGGGGGGGGGGGGGGGACCTTTGACAAGCCATCAGCTTCCTGCCCTCACCAAAGCCACTAGGGTTAGTGGCCGTCGGGTAAATCAGGTAAAAATACAAAAAACAAAGTTGCTAATACACATATAGACAAACATAAAATAAATACAAATTATTGAAATTGTAAATTTAGGTAGATTTCATGAGACCTATACTAGTACATGTATTTCAAGTGTTATTGGTATCTATTGACTACAACTACTGAATGAGTAAACTACTGACTACTGAATAAACAAAGAATTCTGATTATTAAATCACATCAATTTACCAAACAACTGAAAGCTACATCAATCATTTGCTTACAGATCAAAAATATGCACAAAGAGCAGTGGGAAAAAATTATGACATTAAATGAACAATTTACACTTTTTGTTTAGCATGTACGTTTTATCCATTTTTTATTATTTTCATATTTTTATTATATTATTTGTTCATATTATTCAGATCCAAATATATTTTTATTATGGCAGTGAAAATGTAAAGTTGCTATACAGATCAAAATTTTATCTATTAATATAGCAGTGTATGTAATGGCAAAGTTGAAATCCAGATCCAAGCATGATTTTTAATATAGCAGTGCAAAGGTAAAGTTGCTATCAAGATCCAAGCATTATTTGCTAATATTTCAATGCAAAGGCAAAGAGCTAACTCAACACTGCAGTTGTCTCACCAAGGAGATGAGCAGCGATAACTTTAGTAGCATTGCGTCCAGCGAGTCTCGGAGGCTGTGCAGCCAACAGCCCCATCACCCGTTCGGCAACCCTACCATCCACTTGCTCCAGGCTCGTTAAACCCGGAATTTCACCCAGAATCTCCGCAGCGAGGGCACGGGTGTTTAGGGGAAGCACATTCTCCTTAAAGGCATTTTCTATATTACCTGCAAATCACCAAAATTAATTGAGGGTTTTGACTAAAGCAAATCTTTTCACATAAATCTTTATACCTGTGTCTTGTTTTTATCAAGAATCATTCCTGTATCTTTTATCCAGATACAGTACAAAAGAATTTGTACCATTCATTTCTTGCATAGGTCTTCTGCAATAGATTAAAAATGGTTTTGTAGACTCTGCAAACTCTCTAATACACAATGCATGATGAAAAATACAAAAGTATAAATTACAATAACACAATTCATTACTATAGTTATACTTTCTCTCCATCTCTTGGCAGAAATGCCCAAAATGCCATGCATAACTAAGGGACTTTATATAGACTAAAAATTACAAATACACACATGTGCATGCACACATTGCTTGAGAGTGAGTGAGAAAGAAGGGGATGGGGCACTACATGAAGTAATAAGGACGTTTGCAAAGAACTTAACAAATTCTTCCTAAAAGACTAAACTGGAAACTGGTATGGGCGGGTATAAGAGAAGTAATGAGAGGTGGTCGAGCGCACCTGCGGGAGCATAGTGAGCCACCACGATGATCTTGCCGGACCTGCTCCTGGCCTTGCCCACTCCGAACTCCCGACTCTCACCCCACACCAGCTGTGTGAATGGTCCTGAAGAATAGAGGTCATTAGTTCTAACATGGGTTCATGCCAGGTTCAATGTCTCGCCTACTGTGTATACTTCACCGTGTACTCTACTGTGTACTATGTACTTCATGCACTCCATTATACACAAAACATTACTAATAAACTATGTATAGTTTTAACGTTAGCTGTTACAACTTCTTTACTTATCATAATCTTAAATACTCTGGAAAGAATGAAAATAAATCGAACCAGATATGTTTAGATCATTGTTGATTATGTGAGGTATTCTTGGATCCTATGCCAGGGTATATATCTTAAAATAATATTAGGAATATTCTTAAAAAATATAAGTCCCCCTCGATTGATTGATGGAGATTAAGCCACCCAAGAGGTGGCACAGGCATGAATAGCCCGTAAATGAATGTGGTTGATTTTTGGAGTGAATGTGATCCAAGTCCCCATCCTCGATTGATGATTGATGAAGATTAAGCCACCCAAGAGGTGGCACGGGCATGAATAGCCCGTAAGTGGTGGCCCTTTCGAGCCATTACCAGTATCAAAAGATGATACTGGAGATCTGTGGAGGCGCAACTGCACCCTGCGTGACGGGAGATGTCTCCCGGACCAAGTGGTGACCAAATGGTGTCCCCATCCTCCTCCTCGTCCTGTCTATATATACAGATGGAGTATATGTAGGTGGGGAAGGTGGGTAAAGGGTAGTAGTAGTACATGCTGTGGTGATGTAGGAGGTAGTAGGAGGGAGGGCTGGATGATGGACGTACAGGGTATGGGCAAGGGAAGAAGGGGAGGGTGCAGGAAAAAGGGGGAGGGAGGGGGTGATAGCAGGATGAGGTTCTTGTACTCACCCTGGCTGGCCTGTAGTACATTGGGTGGTCTGTTAAACTTGTACTGCCTCACGCTGCTATACCAGTAGGCGGCCACCTCCTCCCCTGTGGGAAATAATTAACCTTCAGCTTCATATAGGGTTAAAAACCTGTTTAAAGAGCCAATAAATAACGTTGGTAAATCTTGATATTTTGCACCCCCAAGATAACGTAAGTTTTTAAGGATTGATAGATGTTAATCTTCTTGTTTGAGGAGCTGTTCACTTGAGACAGTTAAGCAAGTCCCAGCTGTGTCTGGGTACAAGTGACAGGATGAATAACCCAGTGGGTTTTCTTCCTATTGGGGAGTGTTGTACATGCTGCTTTGGCGGTGTGTCCACTCACAAGATGAGTGGCGTTGCCCAATAAACTCGCCCCTCGGGGCAAAATTTAAATTTTAATTTGATGGAAATTGTTGCCAATGGTGGAAGTGGGATTAACGTTGACTTAACGTTAATTTGAGATTAACGTCTTAACGTTGACGAGCTACGAGGATATTATCTATATCTATCTATTCATCCATCCATTGTCTGCCCCTAGCCGTCTCTTTGGCTGTCTATGTGTCAGTGTCTGTGTCTTTTTTTCGGTCTCTGCCTGTCTATCTGTTTCTTCTAATAAAAAAAATTACCTCTTATTATTTCATTAAAGGTCAGTGGCTTGAGAAACCTTCTAAGCTGTAGAAGAACTGCCAGTTTTATGCCCTTACGGGCAAATTATTGATAGCAGGAATTTTTTTAATTTTTTCCCAAGATCAGTGAATAATTGTACATATTACTACCAGAAAAAAGATTTTTAAAAAGTTTGTTTTGAAAATATTTAGCTGTGTAGCTCGCGGACAGTGCCCCAAAACATCACCATGAGAGGTTTTAATGTGACTCCTGGCACCTATATAGGCTGTTCCATTTTTAATTTTAGTGACCCCCTCCCCCCCCCCCCCCTCCCGGATAAGCCTATGTTCATCCCATACCCCAGACCATTCCCCCCTCTGCTAATTTAGGTGATGCTAGCCTCCCCAAGCATCTAGCCTCCAATTTCGAACATACACATTCTCTCTTATAGTATATAAGAGGGGTGACTCTACTAGACTAGCCACGGGAGACATCTCCCGTCACGCAGGGTGCAGTCGCACCTCCACAGATCTCCAGTATCAGCTCTTGATACTGGTAATGGCTCAAAAGGGCCACCACTTACGGGCTATTCATGCCCGTGCCACCTTTTGGGTGGCTTAATCTTCATCACTAAACTAGCATGGTGCGAGTGTGCCCGTCCTGACGGGAACCTGAGACAGTGCCGGAGACCCCGGCCACCACACCAACCAGTAGAATCTAAAACCAGAGGCGGAATCCAATTCTGACGCCATTGTGACGTCACACACCTTGTGCTATAAGATATGATAGGGCGGGATACGCTAGTTGGGCTTATTTAAAGAGTATAGCGATGACGTAGGGTAGTGATAATTTTCTGAGATCTTAGACCCTACTCCAAGAGACAGCTTGACAACCCCCTCCCCCCCACCTCCCTCTGGGCTACAACTCCCGCCAGAAATAACCCACAAGCACTTACGTTTTCCAATGTCTCGTGGTTTATATAGGAAAGATCCGATACGAAAATTTCAAAGCTATTATCGAAAATTTACTAAACACTTCAAACTAGCGTCATTCTATTAAGGCCCCAAACTTTGCTGAAATCGCGGATGTGATTAAATCGCTCTCATTGTTAGCGGATAAGATCCGCTTATAATGAGAGTGGATTAAAAAGTTTAAATTTCGACTTAATACATTGCTAAGTTCACCCCCCTCCCCTACCCGGCCCGGCCGAAATACAGGCTTGCATAAGCTGACGAGTCTCTGAGGTAACAGGAAACATACGTTAAATATCTAGTTATTGTTTGTGTATGCTGATTGATTGATTGATTGATGAAGATTAAGCCACCCAAGAGGTGGCACGGGCATGAATAGCCCGTAAGTGGTGGCCCTTTCGAGCCATTACCAGTATCAAGAGCTGATACTGGAGATCTGTGGAGGCGCAACTGCACCCTGCGTGACGGGAGATGTCTCCCGGACCAAGTGGTGACCAAATGGTGTTGTGTATGCATTAATGTTTGAAGATTTGTGCCTATAGATATCCCATCGTGGAGGGCGTTGGTATTATACCAGTGGAGGGTAGGAGGCCGTGGAGGGTAGGAGGCCGTGGAGGGTAGGAGGCCGTGGAGGGTAGGAGGCCGTGGAGGGTAGGAGGGCGTGGAGGGTAGGAGGGCGTGGAGGGTAGGAGGCCGTGGAGGGTAGGAGGCCGTGGAGGGTAGGAGGGCGTGGAGGGTAGGAGGCCGTGGAGGGTAGGAGGGCGTGGAGGGTAGGAGGCCGTGGAGGGTAGGAGGCCGTGGAGGGTAGGAGGGCGTGGAGGGTAGGAGGCCGTGGAGGGTAGGAGGCCGTGGAGGGTAGGAGGCCGTGGAGGGTAGGAGGCCGTGGAGGGTAGGAGGGCGTGGTGCAGGTGGAGCGGGTCGCGGAGGAATACAAACTACACATTGCCAGCCCGGCCTGGTGCATGCTGGCCACGCCTTACACACTCTATGCTGCCTACCTGCCTGCTTACTCTATGCTGACTATACCTGCCTGCTTACTCTATGCTGACTATACCTGCCTGCTTACTCTATGCTGACTATACCTGCCTGCTTACTCTATGCTGACTATACCTGCCTGCTTACCCTATGCTGACTATACCTGCCTGCTTACCCTATGCTGACTATACCTGCCTTACTCTATGCTGACTATACCTACCCTATGCTGCCTACCTCTGTCTGCCCTACCTTCCCTCCTACCTCATAGTCTTCATTCACTACAGTACCTCCTCACTCCTCACAGAGTAGAATAGCTGTTATACCCACTATATAAACAACGGTTCACAAACCCAAACCTTTACGGGCTATTCATGCCCGTGCCACCTCTTGGGTGGTTTAATCTTAATCTGCATCTAATCATCTAATCAATCCGAAACAACATCTCCCGCAGAAATAGTCAGGTCGTCACTCAATTCATCACCGAGAATGGAAGGAAGATCCAAGAGTCGCGTCTGATGCAAATACCTTCAGTTCTACATACTGAAGGAGCTGATGAATACAGGGTGCACTTACATTATTTAATTAAAACTATTATGATGTATTCAAGTCATAAATTCCAATTACGGGTTAAACTGTGAGACTATGCAAGGGAAGAATTAGGTTTCATTCAAGAGTAGCCTAGTAGCATAGGGTTTTACCTTCCCCCCTCCCCCCGGCCTCCTTTTCAAGAGGGCCTCGCTCCCATAGGGTTCAGCTGGCCCCATAGGGTTCAGCTGGCCCCATAGGGTTCAGCTGGCCCCATAGGGTTCAGCTGGCCCCATAGGGTTCAGCTGGCCCCATAGGGTTCAGCTGGCCCCATAGGGTTCAGCTGGCCCCATAGGGTTCACCTGGGCCCCCACCCCCCTGGAGAAGGCCTGGCCCAGGTTTCACTAAAGGGGATCCGCTCTCCTGCTGGACACTCCCCCCACCCCCCCACTAAACAAATAGATCGAACAGCCTCTTCGTGCAAGAGGGCGTGGAGTCCTTACCCTGAGTTCGAAGAAGCCTTACGTAAATGCACTGATGTATTCTTCAAATACTCAAAATGACGTTTCAAGATTACGGAATGCGTCTGCGCGGTCTCCCGACAATTTAAGGCAGAATTTTTTTCCCCATTTCAAAAGTCAAATATCATTTACAGCGTTCATTATAAAAATAAAAGTGTGTAGGCAATTTAAGGATTCTATTTTTTAACAAATATATAAATTACTCTGGCCTCTTAATAAGTATTTAAATTCCGACGTATTTAAGGAGATTCTCCAACTGCCTGGAAGATGTCAGGAGACTCACTAGCTACCTGGGAGATGCCTGGACTCACCCACTACCTGGGAGATGCCAGGAGACTCTCCCACTACCTGGGAGATGCCAGGAGACTCTCCCACTACCTGAAAGATGCCAGGAGACTCACTAGCTACCTGGGAGATGCCAGGAGAATCTCCCACTACCTGGGAGATGCCAGGAGACTCTCCCACTACCTGGGAGATGCCAGGAGACTCACCCACTACCTGGGAGATGCCAGGAGACTCTCCCACTACCTGGGAGATGCCAGGAGACTCTCCCACTACCTGAAAGATGCCAGGAGACTCACTAGCTACCTGGGAGATGCCAGGAGAATCTCCCACTACCTGGGAGATGCCAGGAGACTCTCCCACTACCTGGGAGATGCCAGGAGACTCTCCCACTACCTGGGAGATGCCAGGAGACTCTCCAACTACCTGGGAGATGCCAGGAGACTCTCCCACTACCTGGGAGATGCCAGGAGACTCTCCCACTACCTGGGAGATGCCAGGAGACTCTCCCACTACCTGGGAGATGCCTGGACTCACCCACTACCTGGGAGATGCCTGGACTCACCCACTACCTGGGAGATGCCAGGAGACTCTCCCACTACCTGGGAGATGCCAGGACACAACTACAGTATAGGCTTGTCAATAGTTGACGAACAACCATTATTTTGATGATGCCTAATTGACAACTATTAACTGTTTAACGACTTAAGACACGTGTATATTTTTGCATTCAAGACAAGACACACACACTCAAGAAAACTGGTTACAACGCTGAACACTTTATAGAGAACAAGATATATTATGTCAACGTGACAAATGGATATGCATTCACGAAACAAGGATCAACAGACATATGCTAAAGTAAAGTCGGTATTAACTTGAAATGATCTGGAGGTCAACATCTCGCTCGTGGCCCTGAAGGGAAGAGGAAGCCCTGAGGGCCACCGTCCCTAGTGGTCTGGAAGGAGACAGGGGTAGCCCTGAGGGCCACCGTCTTCAGAGGTGCCGACGGGGGACAGCAAGCAAGCCCTGAGGGCTTGCTAAAGATCCTCCCGTTATTCCAGAGAGGAAAAGCTAAGGAGTGGAGACAGGGGGAGGCTGAGTGTGAGACAAGAGAAGGAAAGGGGGAAGGTGAGGAGAGAGGGAAGCTAAAGAGGGAGAGGAGATAGAGAGAGAGAGGGAGCAAGAGAGAGAGAGAGGGAGCAAGAGAGAGAGAGAGGCCGAGACAAGGGCTACTAACCAAGGCGAATAGCTCCGAAGGATTAAATATTAAGTTTGTGTGGTGTGTACAAGTTTACGACCAGCCACGCCGCTCCCTTGCTGCCGGTAATGTGTCCTGGGGGGGACCCGTCGACGACTCTTGCAGGATGTCCAGAGCTTCCTGCTACTGTTAATGTGTCCTGGTAGGAAAGGGGGACTCGTCGACGACTTCTGCAGGATGTCCAGAGCTTCCTGCTACTGTTAATGTGTCCTGGTAGGAAAGGGGGACTCGTCGACGACTTCTGCAGGATGTCCAGAGATCCTGCTACTGTTAATGTGTCCTGGTGGGAAAGGGGGACTCGTCGACGACTTCTGCAGGATGTCCAGAGCCTCCGCAGGCTTGCAGAGAACACAAGAACACAGCTATCTAACAGGAAAGAGGAGTTTGGGGAACAAGCAACGAGAACACTAACCAAAGAATGCCTGCAGCGCTTCTGACAAACAAAGCAAGGGTAGAGAACGGCCTGATCGTGTCCTGCAGGGCTGGCGTTCCAGCCCTGACGGTCGAAGGGGTTCCTCCCCAACCACTTGGGCCGGACGGTAGAGCGACGGTCTCGCTTCATGCAGGTCGGCGTTCAATCCCCGACCGTCCAAGTGGTCGGGCACCATTTCCTTTGGGCAATCGACTTGAGAATGGTCCAGGACGGACCGAAACGTCGTCGTCCCTTCACCTTCTAGTGTGTGGTCTGGTCAACATACTTCAGCCACGTTATTGTGACTCATTGCCTGCGTTTCCTTCCCCCCCCCCCCGTCCCATCCCAAATCCTGGGACTTCCCTGGTACTCATCCCGGTAATCCTGGAGAACCGGGCCGTGAGTACACGTTGATCCACGGAACCAACGCATGGTAGCCCGCAAGGCAAGGCATGTACACTTGTGAAACCATTCTCCCGCAGCATTACCACATGGAAAAAAAATGGCAGCACTAGCATAGCAAGTACGGCAGATGTTGCCACAACCACTCTGATAAAATGTTAATAAATAACCTGGTAAGACTATTAGTTGCAGGAACCTCCTTCATTTCGTATATACCAAAAAAAATCCTCTACACTCGGGCATAACGACACGTAATAACACATAAAATTGGACATCATGCACAACAAACACTCGGAGCATCTTATTACAAACAAATTAAGACAGACCCCAACCACTAACACGGGCAAAACGCGTCTTAAACATGCAAGAAACTGGTAATGTGTTTGAGTAGATACAGACATGCTTAAGGGGGGGGAGTAGAAATAGCCTAAGCTACTCTATCCCTTTGAGATGTATTTCTTTCTTATCTCAATAAACATACTTGAAAACTTTGACATGCTTCCTCGTGCCTCTGTCAACCACCACCACGGCCGCATGCAAGATATATTTAGTGAAGCTGAAACACCACAGAAACGATGAGGACAATTACGAGAGGAACATATGCTGAGAGATTAGTGAGTGAGCATTACAAGGAGCAGCAAATGCTGGCAGAGAGGTGAGTGAGCATTACAAGGAGCAGCAAATGCTGGCAGAGAGGTGAGTGAGCGAGCATTATGCGAGTGAAATACAGTAACCAAGTAAATTAGATAGATAGCGATCAAGATGGAGGAGAAGATTAGCACACCTTGAGATAGCCAGACATTCAAACAACGAGCCAGACTGAGCGCACGCGCGCACAGAGAGAGAGAGAGAGGGGGGGGGGCTAAGGCAAGGCAAGGTAAGGTAAGTCTGCTTAAGAATCAGACCAAAGCACTACTTAGGTAACCAGACTGGGATTACATCCCAGCCTTCCACCGGAAGGAAATTGCTCACAGATTTTCTACGCAAAATTCCTGATGCTCGTCTCCCTATGGTACCGGACTCAAGCAATGCTATGCTAGTGTAATGCTATTTATGTCAGCATAGTACTAATTATGCTAATACAAAGCAAAATTATTCTAACACACACATGCAAAATAGACCGAGGCATTTTCTGTGGTTGGACCTTTTTTGGAAGACTGGAAAAGGTCTGTAGACTTTCCGAGTTTGTGGGATGACTTTGTTGTGGGTGGGAGGATGGGGGGGGGTAGGTAGGGGGGGGGGGGGGGGTTGCGGGGGGGGGGGGGGGGGGGGGGAGATTCACCTGTTTGGTCTAGACTCTCAACATTCAATCCACTGGTGAAGAGGGTCATATTTACATGCGTGCGTGCGTGCGTTTGCGTGCAGTGTGAGCACCACCCCAAGATTTAACCTGAGCCAGGCCTTCCACACACACACACACACACACACACACACACACACACACACACACACACACACACACACAATCACACACACCCCCTGAGACGATACCTGTCACTCCACACACACACACACCTGAGACGATACCTGTCACTCCACACACACACACACACACACACACACACACACACACACACACACACACACACACACACACACACACACACACACACATCTGAGACGACACCTGTCACTCCACACACACCTGAGACGCCAACCACCACATGAGACGTCACACTTCATCATAACTTATATTAACCCGACTCCTGATTCATCCACACCCCAGCCCCCTGACAAGGGAGGGGGTGGTTGGGGGAAGAACCTCGCGCCCACGACAAAGATGGGGGCGGGGGGGGGGGGAGGGGAAATTGAGGGGGGTGGGGGAGGCAACACTTGCCCCCACAACCCCCCCTCCCGGGCCAACGACAAGGCACAGCAACTAGGAAAAGGAGGCGGCAAGTGTAGACAGAGCAGTTAGTAAGAGTCAGCAGGTGAAGGCAGGTGCCGGTAGCAAGAGCGGGCAAGAGCGGGCAAGAGTGGGCAAGAGCGGGCAAGAGCGGGCAAGAGCGGGCAAGAGCGGGCAAGAGTGGGCAAGAGTGGGCAAGAGCGGGCAAGAGCGGGCAAGAGTGGGCAAGAGCGGGCAAGAGTGGGCAAGAGCGGGCAAGAGTGGGCAAGAGCGGGCAAGAGCGGGCAAGAGCGGGCAAGAGCGGGCAATATGCAGAAGCCAAGATAGGTTGGTTTACCTTTGAGCTCTGGAATGACGGGGGGAGAGCGACCTGGAAGATGAGAAACAACTCCACTTGCTACTCTGGGATTGGCCAGGATCGGTGGATCCTCCCAACTGTTACTACATGCAATACACATACCAGAAAGGGGGAAGAGGAAGATGGAGGGGTTGGGGGGTAGGTAGGAATTCACGAGGAATACATCAGTCCAAAAATCGTGGCTTTTCATTCCAGGTGTTTAAAAAAGTTTAAAAAAAAAAACACATTGAAATGATCTTTTCTAAAGGGCTCCAGTTATTATCACAGTCAGAAACACTGAACTGCTTGCTAGAGTAAACTTTTCATTTGGAGCTTTGAATTAGAACTGTTATTCATTTGTCTGAATACCGATATAAACAAAGTTAAATGAAATTAAATGAAGAATTTTTTTTTTTTTTTTTTTTTATTATTTTCTACCACAGACGTGGCCACACATTTACAATGCTAACCAGCATATATACATAGCATATATACAAATGAAGAATCTTAGGCATTAATTGGCATTACCATTAGCTTCAAACACCACTCCCCATCCCTCCCAAAGTCACTTGTAAACTTGTAGGATTTATACAAATGTATGATGTATACTATTGATTTAATAAATTAGATTCATTTGTCATGCCCACCTGTGTAGCCTTACCTATATTACAACTGTCCAATGGTGCCCACAGGTGACTCCAAAGGCTGGCAATAATATTAATATAACATCCACGATATATAATTGATTGATTGGTCAGAGTAAACACAATACTGAGTTCTATATAGCCCCCCCCCACTCCCCCCACACACAAGCACAATTAGGTGAGTACAATTCGGTGAGTATACATACATATAATTCTTGTTGTCCTGGGAAGAGGGGGGAGGGCTCAGGATATACATACATACATATGTATATATGTGTGTGTGTCTGCGTATATATATACATAAACTCAAGGCTTCTATATCAAGGTCCCCCCAGAAGGTGGAACTAGGTATCTTTCCCCCCTTTCCCTAGATTCAACTCCATGACAGTGGCCTAGCTCCCCCGTTTTCTTCTAGGTGAACAGATGCATCAGGTGAAAGGAAGCGTGCCCAACCATTTCGGTCCCGCCCGGGAATCGAACCCAGGGTGCCCCGATTGTGAGTCGAGAACGAAGCCAACAGCACTACCAGACGTCCAAGAATTGTGAGAGTGAAGAGGGGGCGCCGTGCCCTTCTCTCTGACCCAGTGTGAGGGGGGGGGGAGGGGTTAAGTTTATGCCGTTCGGAGCAATGAATCGACTTGAGAATGGTCCAGGACGGACCGAAACGTCGTCGTCCCTTCACCTTCTAGTATGTGGTCTGGTCAACATGAATTTTGGGGTTCACAGTTCCTGAGTCCATTATGTGCCAATGTGATCTGTCCTACTGCCTTCCCCAGGATGGGTATGGGGGTATTCTACCGTCCCCAGGATGGGTATGGGGGTATTCTACCCGTCCCCAGGATGGGTATGGGGGTATTCTACCGTCCCCAGATGGGTATGGGGGTATTCTACCGTCCCCAGGATGGGTATGGGGGTATTCTACCGTCCCCAGGATGGGTATGGGGGGTGCATACACAATTAACCAAACACTCGAAGGCTACAAATGCCTGCTCCAGGGCATACTGTACGATTACTAAATGAAGATATCTTAGGGAAGGGGGAATATAGGGGGGGGGGGTAGTAGTTTAAGGTTAACTCTAATTCATAATACTTATACCCACCTAAATACACATACCACACAATAGGTCAAGCATGTTAATTTTATCTATATATATATATATATATATATATATATATATATATATATATATATATATATATATATATATATATATATATATATATGTGTGTACATACAAAAGAATGGGGGTGGTAGGAGAAGATAATATTAGTGTTCAGTGAGAAACCACAAGGTCTCCTCTGAATACTTTTTATTTCCTTCTCCGAGGCTATGGGTCCCCACATTGGCACCAGAGGTGGTACCCTCACAACCTTTTTTAAAAAAAAAAAAATATATATATATATATATATATATATATATATATATATATATATATATATATATATATATATATATATATATATATATATATAAACACCCATGCACAAAACATGTAAAATACCTAATAAAGCACGAAACACGTACAAGCCAAATAGTTTACAAGTAGTTATAACAAAATGTAAAAACATGCATGACATGTATATATATACATATACATATAAATGCAAAATTCTATATCCCTATAGACAATATCCCTACAATGAACATTTATATACTGCATTCCTCTACAACTCCCCCTTGCATGTGTGTGATTGTAGCTAAGCAACAATCTACCGTTGTAAACTCATCATTTAGTAACTGTAAACCACCAACTATCAATAGATGGTTTGAAAGACCTAAAACAAATTTTTAGAGGCGTACCTAAGATATACCCCTGCATTAGCTGTGCCGGTAGGCCTATCCTACGGTGATATATCTTCTTTGGCCACACACATACACATCCTCCGACTCAGGATCTGTCCTCTCATCCCTAACTGACCCCACAAGAACTATCCTCCCATCCCTAACTGACCCCAAGAACTATCCACCTAACCTTCCAGCAGCCAGTATCTCTTCAACCTTACGCACCAGGAACCAGTTATAACATGCATAACTTGGATATAACCTGGATTTAACCTGGTCATACACAACCACAAAATGGCTGCAAGGGCACTATAGCGACAGAGGAGCCCGCTGACCACTGACCTAAGGCGCGCTTCAACTCGTACACTGACCTGAGATGTCGGGCATGACTGAGGTGCGGCCGCGAAGAATGAGCGCCGTGTTCCTGCAGAAGAGGTTTTCTCCGAGGCCCGGTTCCCCTCGGTGCCTGAAGGTGCCAGTGTGGGCCAGGTGGTTCACCCAGGCCTGGGCTTGGCGGCACAGCTGGTGAGAGAGAGAGAGAGAGCTGGTGGTCAGGGCGACATAGAGCATATTTGGAGCAGAGCTGGAGAAGGTCTTCGGGAGTTCTTCTACTCCCCCTCCGAGCATTCATAACAAGAATGAAAGGAATCAGAAAAGGGAAGAGAACAAAGCAATAACCAGAGAGGAGACAGATAAAACAAACATTGGACGCAACATAAGGCAGATAAATGGGTACTATAAACACAAGACATAAACAGAAGAAGACAGTTATCCCACACAATGTTTACATATAGACAACACTGCAACATTGTCTTCCATAATCCCAGAGGAACACACAGCAACAAATCAGCTCATGCATAAGGTGGTAATAAATCAAAATAATTATTTTATACATGTTTGAAATTATTCAGTTGAGAGAGAATTTGTCTTTTGAAAATTAGTTAAAAATAGACACTAACAAAAGATCCAAACAGTCCTTTAAAGTACACACAGAAATCACAATAGCGTGATGCATCAAATGAACAAATCCACAAGGGCCGTGATGAGGGTTCGAACCTACGTCCCAGAGGATCCCACACACGCCTTAATCGACTGTGCCAGAACCCGGGTGCACGGGGGGGGGGGGGAAGTGTGTAAAACCCAGGTTTGTGTCTCGGAGAGGCTGCAGGATCCGTGTGAGGGGGGTAGATAAACTCCCGGTTGCAATTCTTTTGACCGTGTCGTAGCACAGTCGATTAAGGCGCGTCTGGGATCCTCCCGGACGTAGGTTCGAACTCTAATCACGAGGGTTAATGGTGGTGGTGCTATACTTCAACTTCCAGGGGCAAGGCCGCCGACGCAGGAGGCTCTTGAAAAAAATGGCGAAGACATAAGGGAAGCAAATCTGATGAAGCAGGTGAGTGACGGAGTGACAGCTCTGCCAACACATTAAGAGGGATGAGTGACAAGAGTAATGACCCCACCTCGCTGGCACATAGAGTGGGGTGGAGGAGGGGGTGGGGTGGGGGGTGTAGGTGCAGGGGGACGCAGCTGGGGGGGAGGGAGTGCTAAAACAAAACATAGACAGGTTGCGTACCTCCGTGGAGAGGGTGAGAGGGGGGGCGGAGTGCCTGGCACGGTAGATGTTGTGAGCCGTGAGGCACGCCTGCACGAAGTCGCTCCCACTCCAGCACGGCTCCGGCTCCGGCAGCCTCCGGGACACCACCGGCCGCAGCGACGCTATCTGTGGGTGACACATATGTGTGGGGTGACACACCTGTGGGTGACACACCTGTGTGGGTGACATCTGTTGGTGACACACCTGTGGGTGACACACATGTGTGGGGTGACACACCTGTGGGTGACACACCTGTGTGGGTGACCCATGTGTGGGTGACACACCTGTGGGTGACACATCTGTTGGTGACACATCTGTGGGTGACACACCTGTGGGTGACACACATGTGTGGGGTGACCCATGTGTGGGTGACCCATGTGTGGGTGACACATCTGTTGGTGACACACACCTGTGGGTGACACACCTGTGGGTGACACATCTGTTGGTGACACACCTGTGTGGGTGACACACCTATGTGTGTGACATGTGTGGGTGACACATCTGTTGGTGACACACACCTGTGGGTGACACACCTGTGGGTGACACACCTGTGGGTGACACACCTGTGGGTGACACACCTGTGGGTGACACACCTGTGGGTGACACACCCTGTGGGTGACACACCTGTGGGTGACACACCTGTGGGTGACACACCTGTGGGTTAATACATAAAACATAATAGTATTACAATATAACCTTCCTCATATCTACATTTTTGTAAACTTCTCAACAAGATATTTCAGTGTAAAAATATGTGCTTAAAAAAAAAGTTTGTCGAGTTATACAAAGTTCAACAAATAATTATAATTCAATAATTAACCCAACTCTCTCACACACATGAAACTGGCGACCTTTTGATCTATTCTAATCCTTTTAGCACCAGGACTTAAGGCTCAATTCCCGTTATTGTGATTACTTACTGTAAATAATCTGTAAACTGTAAATAATTTTAACGCCAAGAGATAAACGATGCTCAAGAGTAAACAAAAAAAAATACAGAAATGAGAACAAGAGTTAAACGCTCTAGGTTGACAGAGTTAAATTATGGCGTTAAGTTTAACGCTCTGGGTTAAAATATTAGATTTTGTCATGATTTCTTTGCTGGAAAGTTATTAAAATGTCTGTTATATTCCACTAAATTAACCTTACTCTTAAGATATTGTGTACCCAAAAGGTTCGATTTTCTTCACAAGAAGCCGTATACCATTCTTTTCTATTAAGAATAATATTTACCTAGAGTCAAAAAAAAAAAATTAAAAAAAAAACAATAAAAAAAAATCCTTATCCAAACAATTAGTAGAAGAGGTGCACTCTTCCTTTCCTTGTTCCTTGTTCTTGCTTCTTTCCCTCTTTCCCATATCTCTCTCTCTCTCTCTCTCTCTCTCTCTCTCTCTCTCTCATCTTACGTCCATTTCATATTTGAAATGGGCATGACCCAGCCTATATATCTAAGGAAACATACTTTGATCTCCGCTGGAATCAGCAAGTTATCCAAACTAAAGTTCAGTTAGGGGCCCAGGAGCTAAATCCCCATCCCTCACACGCATAACCAAGTGAACACATGTCAGTAACTCTGAACCACTCCCCCTCCCACTCGTTTCATTAGAGTAATACATCATTAACATAACATTTCTTACTAATGTCGAAATAAGTATTCTTCAGTGTATTGAGAAAGGAAAAAATACATCTCAAAGGGATAGAGTAGCTGAGGCTATTTCTACCCCCCCAATAAGTATTCTATTGATGCTATACAATTCTTGTATACATTTTGACTTGTGTCTCCCTCTATACTTCCTGGAATTACCCTAAATATGTATTTCATTATTACACGTGTACAAATCCACAAGGGCCGTGACGAGGATTCGAACCTGCGTCCGAGAGCATCCGTAGAACACGCAATTCTGATTTCTGTCTGTAATATACACGAGTCTTTACGAAGTTCCTGGTCGTCAGAATACTTCAGCATACCTCCCGGTGTTTCAGACCCCATGATACTTGGGGTCTGAAACATCGGGAGGTATACTGTCTTCCATCTGTTTTTCACTGAAGAAACTCTGCCCATTTTTGTTTCTCGCTGGCGCCGGGGATCGAACCCGGAGTCCAAGGCGCTATCCACTCAGCCATCAGGCCCCTTGTGTGTGTGTGTGAGGATAATCTCGTCTTGTGAGCTGTTTAAAATAAATAACAAAGGCCCACCGCGAATTTTGCAGAAGCCTCCTCCTAAAATTTATAATTAGAAGCCTATGGCTTCGGGGAGATATCGTAGACGACATTTTCTGTTACATTTTCTTTCCTGTTAACCCTTCCTTTCCCTCTCCCTTCCTCTCTGTCTCTCTCTCCCTCTCGAAGTTGTTCTTTATGTTATCATGTCCTTAAATTAGAGCATTGACTTGAGGTCATTTGATCACTGTTGACTAGGAACTAGTTAGAGAGTAACATTTAAGCGCTAACAGTAAGGAATCATGAAAGACAAAGTATGTAGACAGCTTCTCCACTTCACAATAAATTATTTACAGCAATATAACTATTTATATACCACCATTTTGGTATACTCTTGACTCACTTTACACGGTCACTCACAAGCGCTATGTCAACATTTAACTCCAAAAATATCTTTGAATTTGAAACTATCTATTCCTCAATTATATATATATATACAGCCTCGTGTATCTTAGGTCAGTCACCCCCTCCTCGTGGTCAGGTTTATTGTCTTTTTATAATATATCTAATTCATAGAGACACGATAACAAAAAATGGGGTTTAATCTGCGTTACGACAGCTAATGCTTTTTAAACATGCGTGCTTGGGGACCTCTCTCTCTCCCCCCCCCTCCTTATCCCCCCTCAACCTTCCCTCATACACTCGCATACGTAAACAAACTCGCAGGTGTGTATACACACACGCGCTTACACACACACACATGCACACACACTACGTCAGTGTTAATGCTGGCACGGTCCGGAATGATGGGGTGAAGGTTAGGTATGGGGGGGGGGAATGAACACACACACACACACACACACACACACACACACACACACACACACACACACACACACACACACACACACACACACACACAGGTGAAGTCAGGAAGCCACACAGCCTGTGTCAGGTGCTGTCCTAGTTCCCGCGAGTCTCGCCAGCTGGGACGAGATGAGATGCACCTGGCCCAAGGTTCTGCTGTTGCTGCTGCTGTGTTTCTTTGTTGCTGTCTGTGGTGGTGGTGGTGGTGGTGGTTGATGGTGGTGGGTGTTGTGGTCGTGAAGTGGTGGTTACTGTGGTGAACGGTAGTGTGGTTGATGGGTAGAAATACAAGAGCGGTTACGACACTGATAGTGGCTTGCTGTTATTTCTATATGTCTCCAGGGTGCTTTCAATTGCAACTCCTGCTCTATCTCCACCTGATGCTATCACACACACACACACACACACACACACACACACACACACACACACACACACACACACACACACACACACACACACCCTCGACAGTTGCAGCAATTGACACTTTCCGTAAATGTGGCGATAAATAGTCGCAAATTAAATGATTTAACAATATCTCGGCTTGTATGGTTGCAAACTATGGGACCGAATGAGAAGTGCTGGCATTACGGTGAATTGTGAATGAAGGAACTGTACAAGACGTATATATGTCTCCTGGGCCATGGCCTCCAAGCCTGTCACCTTCTCCCGTCTCCTGGGCCATGCCTCCAAGCCTGTCACCGTCTCCCGTCTCCTGGGCCATGCCTCCAAGCCTGTCACCGTCTCCCGTCTCCTGGGCCATGCCTCCAAGCCTGTCACCGTCTCCCGTCTCCTGGGCCATGCCTCCAAGCCTGTCACTGTCTCCCGTCTCCTGGGCCATGCCTCCCAGCCTGTCTCTCCTGGGCCAGCCGAGACGGGAGAGGGTGCCTCATGGTGGCGTCGTGGTGCCAGTGGCCGTGACAGACAGAAATAAACACTGACACCAAAGATGCTTGAACAGTCGGTCGGGCTGGTCGCCAAACTGAACGACGGGCGGCGCCCCCCCTCCACAGTAGGTGAACAGGACTGCCCCCCCCCCCACAGTAGGTGAACAGGACTAGCCCCCCCACAGTAGGTGAACAGGACTGCCCCCCCCCCCTCCCCACAGTAGGTGAACAGGACGGCCCCCCAGTGTGAGTGCATGTGTTGGCCGGACAAAATAGGGCGCAATAGACGCAATAGATATATGAAGTAGACAGGGTTGAGAGATTAAGAAGAGAAAAAGCCAAATTGGTTGTTAAAAGAAATGGAACAGAGATAAATATCCACAGGCTAAAGGCTAAATATCCACACACACACACACACACACACACACACACACACACACACACACACACACACACACACACACACACACACACACACACACACACAATTTACCTCACCATGGAAACCTGCCTAAACGTCTCGACCAGCCCAAGAATCGAACCCGAGACCATTCGATTGTGTGGCAACCAACTTTAGTCACAGAAGCAAATTTATTTATATTGGTTAAGATCTGGTTTCCTCTTAAGTGAAGGATCAGGCGCTGTAGCCAGGCCAAGTTGGTGGGGCCGGATGTTTTGGACCTGACTGGGGCCGGTCACTGGCCGGACTGGCGCCGGACTTGGGCCGGTCACTGGCCGGACTGGGGCCGGTCACTGGCCGGACTGGGGCCGGTCACTGGCCGGACTGGGGCCGGTCACTGGCCGGACTGGCGCCGGTCACTGGCCGGACTGGGGCCGGTCACTGGCCGGACTTGGGCCGGTCACTGGCCGGACTGGCGCCGGTCACTGGCCGGACTTGGGCCGGTCACTGGCCGGTCACTGGCCGGACTGGCGCCGGTCAGGGCAAACCACTTAACTGCGCAGAGCGCCTTAAAGCTCTCTGAGGGTTGTACGATTTTATTTTGTTTTAATTAGGCCACATTTCAATGTTTTTTAATCTTTTCATCAATCTGATTTAAAATAAAAATGGTCGAATTTGGAACCATTTTGACAGTAACATTAGCTGAACATTTATAAAACCAACAACACGTCCTTAACAACTGCACCATAAAAATGTGTGCCCCAAACAGGTGCGCAGTACCTCCTCTTGTACTTCTGCGCCAACCACGACCA